TATAATACAACCATAGCAAGAAATGTATGCATCATAAGGTCATGTATGTTGAATTAAGGTTTGACATGGAGGTCTCCTCCCCCAGACACGTCTGCTACTGCCGGTCTTACTCCATCGTCACAAAATCAAAGGCTGAGAAATTTGTTTCCTTCACCAAGTAGCTAATCTAGAACCATGGAGATGATTGATAATACGTGCTGGTGTAAACATAAATATACTCATTCGTGTCCAAGTAACTAAACCTATCTAGCAAATTAAAAAATTGTGTGGTTTATGTCAACAACTTAAGTGGTGCACTTATAATCTTTCTTTTAAGTAGATTAAGAGATTTTGAGTTGGCATATTAGTAAAAATAGATTAAAGATAACAAAGTATTGGCTATATTTATAACTCAAAAATTGAAAAAAGATTGTATGGTTCATCTCTCTTTCTCTCTCTCGTGGATATGCCAACTAATATTCTAGTGGTGAACAAAAAGACCTTGCTTAACTCCAACATACTTCACCGTGGACGCATGTGTAAACGTGGTGATGACGAAATGGATGACGGAATGGTTGAGTAAGAGTGCAATTAGGAGTGGGGTTGTGTGGGAAAATGGGTAGAAATTAAAACTAAAAACAATTTGTAATTAAAATATGTTTTTTGAGATGCCTAGATGTAGCCATGTCTTTGGGTCATCCATCTATCCACACTTTTGTTTCCTTACACACACCAGAACACCCATTTTAGTTCCCATGTCCCTTTCCCAAACCAATGGTGGTCCCTGGAATCTCCCTCTGCTTTCTCCTCATTTTTATTTTTTAAAAAATGAAATTCGTATTTACATATCTATTACGCATGAAACTTTGAGGACATTATATAAAGGTGGGTGTGGGTTTTTTGGGTCTACCAAGTTGTGTGCATAGGTGAGTTTTTGGTGAGACTTGTGTTAGTAGTAGTACTAGTGATAATCATGGGTAGGCAACCTTGCTGTGACAAACTTGGGGTGAAGAAAGGGCCATGGACTGCTGAGGAAGACAAGAAACTCATCAATTTCATTCTCACCAATGGCCAGTGCTGTTGGCGCGCCGTCCCCAAGCTTGCTGGCCTCAGGCGCTGTGGCAAGAGCTGCCGCCTCCGTTGGACTAACTATCTCCGCCCTGACTTGAAAAGAGGGCTTCTTTCCGACTCCGAAGAACAGCTGGTCATCGACCTGCATGCCCGTCTTGGCAATAGGTAAATCCTATAGGCCTATTACCCTCTTTTAAATTTCTTTGTTATTCATATCCCTTGATCAATCCTTCCGTGCACATTATATATATGTGCTTTTTAAAAAATCAAAATGGTCTTTTTCCATCTATAGTTTGGACCACACAATAAAAATATAATTTAATCTACAAATTTAATAAATTATATTTAATAAAACTTTTTTTTATATTAATTGATTAAAAGTATTTTAATAATTTTAATATTAAAAGTTTTGACGCAACTAATTTTATAGACATTTACAAATAATCCTATAATGTATTTTGTTGTCTTGAACTCTGAGGTCGAAGAAGATTAGACATAAAATGTAAAATATTTATTTAATTATAATAAATATGTTAATTTGACAAAGGTAACTTGTACATATTTCAAATAGGTGCACCAACTGATTTTTTTTTTTTTTTTTTGAACTGAAGCTAAATATAGGTGCACCAATTGATTGTTTCCCCTAGTTTGAAAAAGAATATGATAGGTTGCATAGATGGACAGGTGGCAAAAATATAGCATATAATATGTTGTAAAGTCTCCATCAAAGATTGAGAGTTTTGTTTAAACAATTATGCAGTCTTTGTTTACACTTGTGGTTTGACGGGGTGGTAATCTGTATTTTGCATTATCTTCAACTACT